GGATATTATGAATATTTAAAATTACACAAATTAGAAACTTAGAAAGCATACAATAAGATCAATTAAAATGAAAATTTTATCAATAATATTCCAAGCTCCATCTGACTGGACCATCTTTCTTATGAATATATCATATCTTCTACAACCATAAATCTCATTTGTTTGTGCATACACGTACTTGAGAGAGAATTCTATATCTATGTGGTGTAGGTGTTCATGTGTGCAAAGTTGTTGTTTATTTTAATTATGGTCCCATACATAGAAGTCATTTTTTTCTACACTAATAGTACATTATCCTGTCTTAATGACTTTTGGAACAAATAGATATAATCAAACAAGTTCACATCTAAAATTGTATAACTCTTGTTTCTCAAATAAATTTTTTGATGAGTTACCATCCATCAATATATTCTGCACTCTGTTCCTTAGAGAAATGGCACAAGGCCTTTTTGAGTGTTAGATTATGCATTTGAATCTCTGATTTAGTGAAACAGTGTGTAAAACTCTCTCATAATCAGAATACTCCCCATTGGCTCAACATCTGAAGATTCCCAAGAGTGCTGTTTGTCCCAGTGACCATCTGGAATAGATTATATGCAGTTAATTGGCTCCAGGTTGAGCTTGTTACAGACAGTAGCATGCGGTATAACCTATGCAATTCACTAAATCCACCTACTGTGGGTTAGATCACACCTACTTTTTTCAATAATTCCTCCCAGATGCAAGACACACACATGTATGTGCACACAAAACACACACACACAACACACTGGAAGATAATAACATATCAATAGATTAGTAGAGAGTTTGCTGGCAAGACATTTACACCATAAATCATCTCAATTAAAAGATTAACTATTGAATTCAAAGGATTGTTGGGAAGAAAAACAAAGAATAAGGAGCAGCACATTGTAGAGTGACTGTTTTATAGTAGAAAAATATTTGAAGTTAAAAAAAATCTTCAAGCTGTTTCAGGATTTTTGCTTTATTTTGTTCCTCCCATTAGTATATGTTTCAGCACGTGTGGGCACTTATCAGAATGTCGTAAAGTAAAGAAAGCAGTGCTTTGCTTTTTAACTTATTTAACAATATTAATGAGTTGGGTTACAAGGAACAGTATGACTACTGTTCATTGAAAACTAAAACATCAATCTTCTTAACTTACGGTGTTGGAGGCACAGGGCATGTCTTGGCGATTAATGACCAGTTGGAGGAGTAGCTATCTCAATACATAGCCAAGGGCCATTAACCCCAACTGGTCATTAATTTCCAGGAAATGTCCTGTACTGAGGTCATTATTGCTAATAAAATGCACATATGGAAAGTTCCCTTTCTTTTGCCTATGTAGATAAATAGACATTTAAATTACATGCATTATTATGTTATGCAAAACGGTAGTATTTCATACGTTCAGAAGCTCAGAAAAACTAAGCCCAATAAGAAATTTAATATGCCTAGTCTTTACATTCAATTTACTTTTTTTCCCCAGAAGGTATGGATTTGAGGGACAATAGGTGTTTGTATGTCGCGGTTATGGGTTCATCACAATCAGAAGCCAGTGTTGTTTTATTATATGAATGTGGAAAAAGTGAAAGGGCCAGGGAAATGGTGTTAGAGAAGTCCTGGTAAAACTGCACATGGGATAGAACACCAAAGCCAGCAGGGAATGACACAGTGTTTTGAGTCATAATATGTTAGCTACCAGAATTGGCTTGAGGCAAATTTAAGAGTGAGCTGTTTGGTGTCTGCCCCTGCACACACCCCTACCTGGATCAAGCTCCACATTATCTTCTTTCTCCTCACAGCTCTCTCCTACATCTATCATGCTGCCTGCCTAGTTTTTCAGGAGCCTCTAGCCAGGTAGCACTTTCTCCTGGAACTTACTCTTTTTGCTTTCCACTCTCTTTCTCAGTCCTCCTGAAACTGTTTTTGTTTTCTTAAACCAATATGGTATTCTTCTGAGTTATCTTCCATAGCATCTCATAAATATCTCAGTTTTAGGACTCTTTTATGGTACCTTAATTATCTGCATGTAATCAACAGCTTCTCTCAACATAAAAATTACATCGTTCCATACCTTAATAAATGGTTGGGGATTAGCTATGGTGTTCACGACTGAAAAGAATATACATAATAGACTTGGGAAATTATATAAATGCAGATATTTGAATATCATCTCAAGGTGTATATATACATATATATATACATATAAAATATTAAAATGTAAATATATAAAGTTTGTGATACTATTTGCATAAAGCAATAAGTTTTTAAGGATAATTTATAAGCAACAGAATGCATCCATTCTTACTAGTGTAAATGGTGAACTAAAAAGTTGCCAAGGTTTCTTTCTTTCTTCTTCTTTTTTATTTTTTGGAGAAGCTTTTGCTATAAGGTGTGTGAACTCACCAGAAAGAGACAGAGAGACAGAAAGCAAAATATCATCCCCAAGGGGGATGACTATGATGCAGTCCCTTCTCCCCCACTCTCCTCTTGGGATCTTGGGCACTCATGCACACACATCCGGTGTGAATTTAAGCCTCCGGGTCCAGGACTCAAATGGAGGTAAACTACGTAGGAGTCCAGTGCCATAACCATTATGTCATCTGCTGGTCCCACCAAAATTTATTTCTTAAGAAGAGGATCCAAAACTCAGATAATTCAAATCTAATCTGATGACATTTTTTCCTATAGATTAGCTACAGTGACTGTTTTGTGACAATAACATAAATATGTTTTTCTACTATTTTAAAATTATAAAATACTTTAGTTTTAAAGTTTATTTCAAATATGTTCTAAAGAGAAGAACTGGATTAGTGTTTTATATAAAAATATGCATAGCTGAAAGCTTAAAACTAAAATTTTTATAAAGAGTTGCTCCTGATACAGATCTTTTTGTCAAAGAATATTCCTATTTTCTCAGATTATGTCTAATTAGGTGAAGTCTTTGTAAAACATCAAGTAAATGTGAATAAAATGTAGTATGTGGCACACTTGGCAAAATATTCCTAAGTGAGTATCTAAGTTAGCTTAATTATTTGCATATGCCATAATCTTCTAGAAAAATAAAATATTCATGTATTACACAGAGAATAACTTTCTGTAGGTTTTTTTGAAGGCAATTAATATTTGAGAATATACAATTTACTATGCATTCATAATCCACATTGCATGAAGAAATTTAAAATAAAATTTAAACTCTATCCCTAAATCTTGTCATTAATAAATATTAATGTACACACCTCAACATTCCATTTTATTTTATATTTCCAGATTGATCCTAACTTCTAAAAACTAAGGTAACTAGAACCTTGATATTGAAAGTTTGTGTTCCATTTTAGTAAGGAGATGATCTCTTTTAATAAAATTTCATCCTTTATTAGATCTTCTCTTAAAATCAAACTCTATAGACATAAATATATATTCTGGATGTTAAATAATTTGAAAATTACTTAAAGTCTACTACTTTGTAAGTATGACTAGAGCTATCACCAAGGAAGTTCAAAAATTATTTGGACAAAAGTTAAAGCAAGTACTCAGAATCTTCCTTGGAACCCAAGATAGGAAAATCCTTCTTGGATTGTTTCTTAGGAAGACAGCAGCAAATTAATGGGGAAGGAAGGGAAGCTACAGACCTCATCAGGAGTTGGAGATCCCTTCATTTTACCATAATGAAAAGAATTCAGCCTCATGTGTTAAGAAGTTAAAATTGGGGTCAGAGATAGCATAGAGGTTAAGGCTGGCTCCCACATGGTTAAGAGTGAGGTTCGAGTCCAGATCTCAGAGGCTTGGAATTAACACTGCACATATACTGTGTCTGCCCAAAGTTCTGAGAGGAGTCTGAAGTACAAGGAGTTGTGGTGTGGCCATCTCCCCACAGGAGTGATTTCTCACTTGCCCTCTTTCTCTCTCTCTCTCTCCAGTGAGTGCACAAACACCATAGCAAACAAACAAACAAAATACAACAACAACAACAAATTAAGAACAAGAAGAAAGAAGGCAGACTATAGTTCACTATAGCTAAGGTTCTGATTATATGTTTCGATCCATCTCTTACTTACTATGTGACCTTGGAAGAATGATTTAACTCTGTGCTGCAGTTTCCTCCTTTTGTCAAGTGAAGTAATTCTGTATCCTTATGATTATCAAAGCATTGCATTATTTAAACGATGTAAAGCACTTTTTAAAAAGTTTCTGGTATATCTAAATAGTGAATATCAGTTGTAATTTTTATTATCAGGCTCAGTTTCAAATATGAGATTTCATTTACTCCATGTCTCAATGAAGACAACCAAGTCAGGTAATTTATGGCCACTTCATTAGTAACATTTCCTCCCTCTTTTAAACTCTATATTTTACAATTCGTTTGCCTATTCAGGGCTGCCCTGTGCAGAAACATATCAGGTGCGTGTGCACTGGTCGCCTTGATCTAATCTTATCCAATTTTCCACATTTAAGTGGAACATTTCATTCGTTTAAATGTTTTTAAAGTCAGAATCTAGAGGAGAACCTCCTCAGAATGACAGCACTGACATGGTAATATTCCCAAATCAATCATAAAAACAAATAAGTAACTTTATTTATACATAAATAAATAAAACAACAGGTTTGCTTATTTTTTGGGGGGGAATCTTTTCATTTGGGGATGACATGGGGTAAGGATGGGCTTTAACTAGTGATCTTTTCTGATCAAAGAATTCGTGTTTTACAAGAATTTGCTTCCTCAGACATTGGCATTCAAAACACCTTTAGCAAAGGAAGAATTAGCAAATGGTTGAATATCCAGTGGTGGATTCAATTTTCCCTCTGAAAAACCAGACTAAGTTTTATTAGTCAATTCTCTTTAAATCTCTTTGCAATAATTTCATAAGGGCAACACAAAACAGGAGAAATTATTTTTAAAGATCTATATACATTTAGAAAATTATCATTTACTAAGTCAAGAAAAATCTGAAAACTGTTCTATTAATCACTCTTTTCTATTTTTTATTTTTTTTTAGTTTGAATTAACACTGTTTGGAAGAGACCATAGTTTTCATCATGAACACTAATAAAGATGAGAGACCTACGTCGAGAAATCAAGATCTTCATCTATTTCATGCTTTGATGATGCTAAGCATGACCATGTTATTTCTCCCAGTCATTGGAACTTCTAAGCAAAATATTCCAAGACTCAAGCTAACCTACAAAGGTAAATACATAAGTACTTTTTCAATTGTTTACTAAGATTTCTTAATATCTCTTTTGATTACTATATGCATTTTATTTATCAATGCATATTGACATCTGTGAAATGTTTATACCATTTGGATCAGTAAATAAAAATCATGGAACACAAAGCCCAATTATTTATTTTTGTGAGGAAAAATATGCCAAAGCTATTTCAGTGTACTTTGTGGTCCAATATGTATAGTGATCAAGTTGTGATCAGTTTCGTATTGAAACAAACAAATCCCTAAAAATAGAAAAATGTTAACTAATTCCAAATAACTGCTAATTAGTTATTTTTAATTAGAGTATTTCTAGTTAGAGGATGATTTTCTAAATACAGTAAATATCTAAAAGAATTTTTTTTTTAGTTGCTGGAGGGTACATGTGCTCGTTAGGGAGAGACAGAGAGAGGGACAGAGAGAAAGCATCCTCTGGAGGGATGTAGCCATACCCCAATCCCTCTTCCTCCAGGTCTTCATCCTGTCTGAATTGGGGGAATGCATGCACACATGCCTGGCATGATTTCTAATCCACTAGGACTAAGATTAAAACAGCATAGTTGACCATGTTTGATCTGGCTCTTTTAACACCTAGGCACCGGGCAGGCTCTAGCTTCAAAAAACTCTTAACAAAATAGGGTAACTTGGGACCAGCAGTTAGCGTAATGGCTATGTCGCTGAACTCCCATGTAGTCGACTACGATTCAAGTCCTGGACCTAGTGGCTTAAACTCACACTGGGCGCGTGTGCCTGTGTGCCCAAGATCCGGAGAGGAGAATGGAGGAGAAGGGATTGTGGCGTGGCCATCCCCCCTGGAGGATGGCCTCGCTTCTGTCTCTGTCTCTCTCTGTCTCTCTGGCGAGCACACGCGCCCTATAGCAAAAACCTCTAAAAAAAATAGAGTAACTTTAAGATTGAAAAGCATATATATATATGTTTTGTAATAGAAAAGAGGCAGTGTGTAAAGTTTAAAATACAGAGATTTACAATTCTTTTTAAGAAATACAATCTGCCAAGACAATTGTCTTTAAATGTTTTAAATTAATATAAAGGAGTTTATAAGTTATAATTAGTCATCTCGCATATAAGTTTCTTTCCAAGTTTTCATCCCAAAGATATTTCTTTTTTTTGTTTGTTTATGCTATCATGTATCTCCGGCTTTATGTTTACAAGTAATAGAAATCAAGCTCCTTTATTCTGAACTTGGTAGATAAAAATTTTGCTGGTATTTTAATATCTTTTAGCTTTAAGGTTACATTTTTTTCAATCTAAATTAAATATCAATAATAATAGCTTTTTACGTGTCAAATTAAAATAAGTAGAATATTATGCTCACTATATGTTTATATGTTGATATTTCTTTGGAATTTATAGCTTATGTATTAGAAAATTGACCATACTTTTTTTTTTAGTTTTTGTATATTTATCTGTACAAAAATCATTTGAATTAAAAGCATATTTATTAATAATCTAACATTTATATGCAGAGGTTTGTTTTCTAGCATAACGGTTAAGAGAGTCTGATCTAACATAACTAACCAGGCTAAATCCTGGCCCAACAACTTGACAAACATTCTGGGCATGTGTGTGGGAGAGCTCAAAATCCTGACGGGAAGGATAAAGAGAGGAACAAAGATTGTGACATAACTGTGCTCCTCTGGGTGGAGGGAATGCTTTCTTTGTTTCTCTCTCTTCTTAGCAAGTGCTCATATGCTCTGGTAACTTAAAATGAAGAAAAAGGATTTTTATACGGGAATATTGAAGTGTAATATATTAACATTTTACCTAATTAATAGTTAAAAATCTAGATTTTTGCATTAGCCATTTCCTAATCATGTTAATTTTCCTATCTATTTAATTTTGTATCATTTCCCTCAAATCCTTTTGGCTTTAAGTGAACACTAAAAGTCATGGTAAGGATATAGTTTATAAATAAATTTATAAACAACAACAACAACAAAACAAGCACTGTGCATTGGGAACCAGCTCCCATATGTCAGAATGTGGTTCCAATCTTGGTCCCAGCATAATAAAAATCATACATGATACGTCTTTTTCTATGCCTAAAACCCTGACAGGATGAAGAAATAGAGGAAAAGGGATTCTGACATGACCTCATCCCATTAGGAAAGTATTTTCTCTTTCTCACAAGCACATATTCCATCTAGCAAAAAAATTAAAAGAAATGAAAGTTCATGCTTGATCACTAAAACACTGTAAAATGTGAGAAAAAAAAAACCAAAAGAAGAAATTAATTTTGCTTTTAAAAATATTTTTATGTACACAAAATCAGTATCATTATGCCTCCTTGAGTGCATACCAGAGATGTAGACAGTAAATATCAGTAGAGTTAGCTACTTGGAACAGCTACAAGATAATTTTGAGGGATTTCTTAAATGTCAACAAAATTGTAATAACCATTTTATCCAAAGAATATTCTTACATAAAGACTTTGCTTTGAACCTCTGAATCCACAACAGTGTGATTGGTTCTACTGTTGTTTAAAGAGATTTTTCTTTAGTTTATGTTTTGAATTGTTGTGTATTTATGCATACAAATCTGCTTTTTTGAGTAATAAGTAAGGAATCATGCAGATAATAAGTAAGGAATCATGTAGGTCGGGATGTTCTGTATTTCCAAATTTTGGATTATGTGATTATTCCATATATTTTATCTTACAAACTAGGATTCTCACAGTGATTTCTGCAGCTTATATGGCAGTTGCAAGAGTAATTTTAAAGATATATCTACTTAGGGTCATATCAATAGGTGGCATAGTAGCTAAGGTCCTGGACTCCCATGTGGTGGACTGTGTTTTCAGTCCTGGACTCAGCAGCTTGAAACTCATGCTAGGAATGGTTGCCCAGAATTCTGAGAGGAGAATGGAGAAAAGACTGCAGCATGGTCATCTCTCCGGGAGGTGATTTCTCATTTCCTGTCTCTCTGTTTCGTTCTTTCTCTCCATTGAGTACATGCACCTTTCTCTCCAGTGAGTGCACATGTCCTATAGTTAAAAAAAACTCTCTAAATAAATAAATAAAATAGAATAAAACCATATGACCCACTCAATTGCATAATTATGTGAATCTTTTTTTTATTTCACAGTGATCACTGAAGACCTCACATATGTTAAGGATACTGAGACCCTCTTATAATATTATCTCCTTAATGCAATTTTCATATTTATAACATAGTAAATTGATAATACAATAGTCACATGCATTAATTTACTTAATTTAAATAAGTTCATTGCAAAGGTGTATTGATTTATGTAAAATACCTAACCCTGTGGTTGATACAGTGAGCATCTTATAAATGCTGATTATTATTAATTTTTTGCAAAATATATTGTGTTGCTAGATGTTAATCGGTGTTCCCAGGCCCACAATTTGGGATTTACAGGAACACTTTCCAGCATTTTGATTCTCTTTTGTGTTTAGCAATTCAGTTGTTAAGATCATTGATGAGATCAGTATTTTTGAGTAGTAGTGGCCCTTGGTATGGATTAAAATGAATCAGAAATAATTTAGGAATTCAGTGTACATGCAGTCTAAAGTGGGGATTTTTGTTTCCAAATTAATGAAAAGAGAAGATGCCCTGCTCTGAATAACTCCACATAAGAACCAAATAAAGATGCATTATCAAACTGATGGTAGGAATTCCTGGGCTAAACAGTGGCATGGTGGTTAAGGATCTCACATGGCCAATTGCATGGTTCAAATTCCAGATACAGTGGCTTGAAAAACACACCAGACATGTGTATGTGCATATTCAAAATCACAAAAGGAATGAGAGGTGGAGGAGAGGGGATGGTGGCATAACTGTGACAGTGAGAGGGAAAGTGAGAAATCACTCCCTGGGGGATAGCCTTGCTGCAGTTCCATCTCCTCCATTCTCCTCCTGGGATATTGGTCATGCACATATATACACCTGGTGTGATTTTCAACCCACCAAGTCCAGGACTCAAACTGCAGTCGGCCATGTGGGAGTCCAGTGACGTAAGCGCTATGCCATCTGCTGGCCCCACAACTCTTTAAAGATTAAATGATAAACCTACAACCGTATAAGTAGATTAAAAAAAAAATCCTAAAAACCTAATGATCAGTTCTAACTTATAGCTTATCAGTTTAATACAATTTGTACTACAACGTTCCTATATCCAACTCTATTATTTAATAATAATTAAAGCTATTTATTAATATGTGGAACACTATTCTAAATGTTATTTTCTATAGAGATTCAGAGAATGGTGAAAGTTACATAATGACATAAGGTAAGATATAGTGTAATATCACTAAATAATTGCCCTAGAAAAAGCCTTCCTGGAATTAAGAAGACAGTTACAAATCACTAGAGTCTAAGTGGTCCCCCATACTCTCCTAGTGGGATGAAAGAAAGCTAGGTCTTAAGACACCTCAGTTGTCTCATACTTGTGTAGCTTTATCTTTGGTTTTGCATAAATGTGGAAAGAAATTTGAAAGACATAGAATAAGGAAAACCAATTTTTACTAAAATTCTGTCAACTATGTTTTGGTTGAAAAAGTCCTTTTGAGTGAATCTTATATGCAATTGATTTACTATTCTATAAAGTATTGAGGAGAGATCCATTTCCATGGCCTTCGGATTAAGAGACCTGGATCCACAAAGCTGTCCAGAATTTGACCCCAGCCTTGGTAGCTTGAAAAACAGTCTGGGACATGTGTATGCGTTCTCCAAACCCTGACAGGATGGAGAAATGGAGAAAGGATTGGAGTGGGACCATGTCCCATCAGTGGATGCTTGTTCATCTTCTTTCTCTCTGACAAGCATACAAAACCTCTTGCACTTAAAAGATAAAATAATAATAATAATAATAATATTGAGGAGCTAAAACTTCTTATGTGCAACTGCTTATTTTGTAACTCCATTTACCTTAAATTTGGCTCTAATTCATTGAGTCTTGTTAAACAAATTTTCACAGTGAGATTGTTTCAGAACACAT